CCCCAAAACCCCAAAACCCCAAAACCCCAAAACCCCAAAACCCCAAAACCCCTTCTAAAACCTTAAAATTGAGCTTAAAAATTGATATGAAAATGTTAAAATTACTGTCCAAAAAATTTAGACCAGTACTTCTTGAATGTCTCATGAGAAGAATTCTCACTCATATGACTCTTATTCTGCCTTATTCTAGAACATAAGTTGGTGCACCTTACTTTCTTGACAAATCTTTCCGATATCGTGAGACTGTTTTTGCTCCTATTTCCTTGAATGAGAAACCAAAAGAATTATACTTGAATTATTAAGGGGGTAATAGAGTGAAATACTAAAAAAATCTGCTATAATGACACTTTATCACAAGATATGTAGTAAAAAGATTTTAACTATTGAACTTGCATGCTTTTTATATATCTATATCTCTACCCCCATTTGACAATCCAGTCTCTAAAATTTAGCCTTAATAATACCTACTCACACTTAAATCCTCTTTATACACAACCCAGCATCAACCTCTACACCCCAAAATGTTCCAAATCCACTAATTTCTTCAAAAATTTTCAAAATTTCCTTTCTTTAATTTACCCAATTAATTCACCAGATTCTGAACATTACATTCCTTAAGCTAATCTTTAAGCCTTATTAGTGTAGAAACTTTTTGTTACGAGCACTTACCTGTGGCTGCTAAATATTGGGCCAATGGGGCCTCCTGGGAGGGACTTTTAGTAGAGAATGAGGGATTGGGTAGTTGTGGCTGGGAGGAAGGAAGGGAGTGAGGGTTTTGGGGTTTGGAAGGAGAGTTGTGGAGATTGGAATGGGGGACTGGAGGGGCTTTGGGGAGTGGGGGATGAGGGGAGGTTATAGAGAGGAGTTTTTGGGGGTTTTGGGAGGATTTGGGGGAAATTTCGATTTTTTTGAGATTTTGGATAAAATTTTTGAGGATATTGGCAAGTTTTTCTGGGTTCTTTTCGCTTCTTTTTATAGTGTCCATCTTTAGAACCTCTTTATTTCATATATTTAATAATTTTATCAAAATTATTTTGCTGCTTGTCTTCTCTTTGTGTGAACTTTAATCCACTTTCTAATTTATTTTCTTTGGCTGTTGAGTTTGCAAAATAAAAGGAATCTACTTCTCAAGATTCTACCATCTCTTTGATTGTTGACATATCAAAGTCTATTTTATCCCCAAAGATTTCGCTTAACGAACCAAATTCAATTGCTTTCTTACTAATCTCTTTCTGTACAGAATACTTCTCTGCTGTATTATCCTGATTTTCAGGTTTGCTCTTACATTCTTCTTCAAGAATCAGCCCAATAGTGTCTGACTTTTCAGGGTATAGCTCTATCTTACTTTGGTCTTGATTGTACGAGATAGTAGACTCTCCCTTAAAAATCTGGGAATTGATCTGATTCATTGAATTACCCTCATCTTGCTTTTCTTTACTACGATATAACTTTATTTTCTGAATGTCATTGTTCTCATTTCGGTCTTCAATATCTTCAATTATTGATAGTTCTTTAGTATTGTTCTCCGAAGAATTTGCATTTGCTCAGTTAAGTTTAATCGAGAACTGAGGGTTGTTGCTGTTCTGCTGCTTTGTTAGGTATACCATGCTGTAAGATTCTTCATCTACAAATTTAGACTCTTCATCATTTTTCTCAATAATACTTTCGCTACCCTTCTCTTCAAAGAAGTTCTCGTTTGGGATATCAACTTCTCGATTTATCTGGCTAGAGTTTTTTTTGATCCTATCAGGATCCGTATTTAGATCCTTTGAAGGTTTGCTTTTCTCTTCTAAAATTTCTTTACGTGCTATCAAAGAGGGCGATTGTTTGTTGTTAGTCATACAATCATCAACTTGATCAGTGGATTTTTGCAAGGATCAATCTTTATTCTTGCTGTTGTTCAGTTGCTTGATGGATTCTCTCTTTGTACTTTTATCTTTCCATACCTCCCGACTTTTTATTAAACTATCGTTTAACTTTATAAATCCAGAGCTGTTTTCTTGATTTTCGCATTTGTCAAAGCCAAGATTAGAGAACCCTTTTGAAATTTCGTAGGCTTCCTTGGTATCTTCCATCCTTTCGATTGCTGAAACTTGTGATTCAAAGATTGGCTCTTTTTGTGTTCACTCTCTTTTTGACTCATTTATTATCCCAGATTCCTCATAACTGCTCAAAATTCCTTGATTCTGCTCGATGTCAGTATAATCTTTATTCCCCGAATCTCCGACAGCTGGTTGATCTTTACTTGTTTCTAAACCTTGCTTATCTTTATCTTTCTGAGAGTTTTCTGATGTTGGCTGGGCATCACAATTTTCACCAGAAAGTTGTTGAAAAATGCTCAAATTCTCGAATATCCTATCATCATTGTACTCCAAATTATGATGTATTCTCTCCATCATTTCTGAATCTAAGGAATCTTCGTTAACAATAAGCTTCTCTGCAAAGGAAACTGTTTTAATGATCTTCTCCTTCCCCTGCTTAATTCCTGCTCTGATTCATGGTTTAGGCTTCCAGGGTCTGATCTTCGCATCTAATTCATACAAATTAATCTCAAAATGATGACTTTCCCTAGTACGATCTCTCTTCTTGTCATGATGGCTTCCAGAACTAGAGATAGTTCTACACTGCCCTTCAATTTTTATATTGCTGGGAGTTTCTTTGCGATTCGAGATAATACAAGGAAGATTATCAGAATTATCAACGCTTTTACTTTTCTCTAAATTAGTGGCTGTTCCCTTCCGACTTCTTTTTGTAGAGGTTCTCGCAGACTTCTTTTTATTGAGTTTTGAAGATATCTAAAATAAAATTAGTCTTAAAATGAAGAGGATTGCTTACAAGTATTGGCCTGATTTTATTCGAATATTTCAATCCTTCCATCTGCCAAAGAGACTGGGTATTCGAAGCAAAAGACTTAGTAATACTTTCTTTTGGAGAGCGCTTAGAGTGCCTATTCTTGGAAGTTGTTGTGTTGTAGGAAAGTTCACATGTAGTTTTATAGTTCTTCTTCTTAGTTGGAATCTTTTTATAACTCCCTTCAACTTTCGAAAGTTTGCTACACTGGCTAATATAACTATTTAGAGCAGATTTTTTCTGAGAAATTTCAGTATTCAAAGCATCATCTCCCTCCAATATTTTTATTTCCAAAGTATCTTTTCTCTTTGATCTGCATGATCTTTTACCCTTAGTCTGATAATTTACATTTTTCGATCTCTCTGAATTAATATATTTTTCTTTTTTCAAAGAAGCCTGCTGACTTTTACTCAAATTAACAGGTGTAGAATACCCTAACTTTCTATGAGCCACTTTCCCATAAACATCACCCAAACCACACTCAATTTGATTCTTCATCCCTCCCAAATACCTTGCTGTATAGGACCCATCTCTCCTACACCAACTATAATCCTTCTTCTTCCCTCTTCCAGAACTACTTTTCCTCACTCCCCATTCCATATCTCCTTTCCTCCCTTCACTCTTCTTACAGCTATACCTTCCTCTATTATCTCTCCCAACCAAGCTGACAGCCTTCTGCTTCCTACCACTCCCAATCTGTACAAGAGTAACCTTAACCTTCTTGTTAAGCATAATGCAATGATAAATAAAATTCAATTATTTATGCACAAAAGGGGTTTTGGGGTTTTGGGGTTTTGGGGG